AAAGATGAATAAACACAATAAGTAACAAAAAGAAAAATAAAAACAAAATAAAGACACGATCAAAAGAGTACTAATTCCTAATTGATTCCACAAATACGACGTTGCCTAATCCCCGGCAACGGCGCCAAAACTGATGGTGATGTCTATGTCGTCCTACACCATAAGCTTAAGAGTGTGCATTAAGGCAAGGGCCAAGTTTTACATTTATAGAAGCCACTACTACCTTCACTAAAAATATAGTTAAGGTGAGTAGGGATCGTCCCAAGGGATTGGAGTCGAATTTGGTTGTGGAATTGCAATTAGGGTTAGTAGGTCGAGTGATCAAATAAATTGTTGGTTAGTTGATTAAACTAGATAGCAAATTAAACTAAATAATTTAATGCAATAAAGAGTAAGTAAGAGAGAGAGAGATCTTCGGGTTTAGAGCTCACCACCAAACAATGTTTTTCTACACCCTTAACAAGTGACTAATGAGGGAAATGTGTGCTGCAATATTGATGTGTGTGTTTGTTTGGTTGATTCAATTAGCAAGGGTGACTAATTAAGCATACATTGTCTAATCAACATGTGAAAAGCACAATATATCTAACAATTAAGTATATATTGTATAATAGCATGTGAAAAGCATAATATATATAGCAAGTCATTAATCATTTCATTAAGCTCACAAGCCAAATACACCACAAGGTTAGAGACATATGCTACTTGCATTCAAAAGTATGGAACATCAAGCAACAAGTATGGATTGTCCTCCCATCTAACAACTATGCTACCACTACACTACAATTAAGCTAATAACATGAAATTAAACTAATTAAGCTAAGGGAGAGGCATAATCCATCAAGAAATGAACATGAACCATCTAGAAAATTACAAGAGCATTCCTTCAAGCACAATGTTTTGACAATCTCTAGATCTATGGCATTAATACACATAGACATGCACCAATAACACAAGAAATAGAGACAAACACATGAACATCTATTCTAGCATACATAGACATATGGATAGAACGAAATGATCAATTGGAAGCATTAAACCACATAAATCATTGAATAAACAAGATCTATATATATATAAGTGCCAAAACATGTATTACAACACTAATCCCTCAATAATACACAAAATCAAAATGTAGAAAACATGCTTGGGGCTAACTCTAGCCCCAAGAGGATGTCTAGCCACTCATGGTAGTGCTTCTCCAACCCTTAAGGGCTAACTCCATGGTAGAGATTTGCTCATTGGTTGATGAAGAGTCTCCAATGGTGTCTCTAGCCTCCTCCTCCTCTAAGCTTTCTCTCCAAGAGTTCTTATAAGGTATGAGATGATATGATGTGATATGAGGTGATATTATGTGAAAAGTAATCCTTATCCTTATATAGGTAAGTCAAATGACACACAAAATGAGCTGGGGTCGTGTACAAAATATTCCCCAATGATTGGATAAAGGACAACTTTTTGTGAGCTGGAGATTTAACTTTTTCGCACTAGAGGAAGTTCGATCGATTGAACCTTGGACTTGGATCGATCGAACATGGTTGAGATCTATCGAACTGAAGTTAGATCGATCCTCAATGGCGGCGCATTTTGGATAAAGACAAATCTGAGATATTTTGAAAATATTTTTGGGAAAAAGACAAAAGTGGTTGGTAGGGTGGTACAACTAGATAAGATCAATCATTTGGATAAGGACAAGGTAGTTCGATCGATCGAAGAATGATGTTGGATCATTCAAACTTTTGAGATCTCTGAAAATGTCATCATGGCTCTGATCTATCTTGAAGTGCTGAGATCAATCATGTTGGATCGATCAAACTTTGATCTAAGATCGATCAAAGATGTTGATTTTCACCTTTTTCTTTCTTTTGCTTCCACTTGGCTCATTTCTTTGATTCATCCCAGAATTGTTTCATTTCTGCTCTTATTTGGCTGAGTTAGCTTATTTTTGGGATAAGTGCCTAAAAATGGAAATAATACAAAATCAATTTAAAACGATAAAGTAAGATAGATAAAGGTACTAGAATGCCTAAACTTAAGGGGTTTAAATACGCATATTTCAGCGCTCATCACACCCCCAAACTTAAATATTGCTAATCCCTAACAATAAACTAGAAAGTAAAGGAATGAAAAGAACAACTATACAACTATGAACTAGAAAACAATAAATGGATAATGCCACTTTCGTATGAAACAAGATTGCACTTAGCATATGCAACAAGCCTTTTAAACCCCTAGGTTACCCCTAGTGGACGAGTGAAGTCTCGTGAGGGTTTTCAGAAATGATACCCACAAACATTAAGCTCATTTTCACCAAAGAGGCACCAATATTGCAAATACGTATTGGGAGAAAACTACTTCAAGTATACAATTTTTCAAACATTTCTAAGCAATCTCCCAAAATCTCAACATCAAGTAAGCAAATATGGTCCTCTACACATCAATAAAATGATCATGCAAATCAAAACAACTCTAGAATCCTTTTGAGTGGACTGGCATCAAATATGTTACTATCTTAGCCAACTAAAGAATTAATCACATCCTTACCCTCAAACTAACACACAAATCTAGTACCGATCATCAAAACAAAAAGTGGACATTTTATTAAAACTTTATTATTTTAGGTGCGCTTATTCTTTTCACTCGATTTTTTTTTTTTTTTTTTTTTTTTTATAGGATCTAAGATGGAAGCATGGTGCAATGTGTTAATCTATTAAGCTTTCTAGCGATTCATGAGGTCGAGCGTTAAGTCAATGATTCCCAAAGCAGACAGCTTTAGGGCATTAGGCGTTCAAACACCCCTACGGACTTACAAACTCAAATCAACTAGGCTACAAATCAAAACAACCTCCATCTAATCATTTTCCAATCAAGACAGTGAATGGATTGGTAAGGACCTTCATAAATGTACATCATGTTCCAAGTTCAATTCGTTGATGTGAGAATAGATTCCAACTTTGACTATTTGAACTTGGAGTTTGGTAGCAACAGGTGAGTGTGATAAAATGGTGAAGAATGGGAAGAAGATGTTTGGTTCAAGGTGGAGGAATATTTGTTTAAGGTGGAGCTATGGAGGATTGCATGAAGACTGAATTTTAGTTAAGGTGGAGATTGTTTGGCTTGTATCTCAAATCTCTGAAGGATGTTGTTATGAAGAAATCTGACAAGTTGCATTATTCCCGACAGGCTGCACTTGTTGAAGTAGTGAAGATTGAAGTCCTGAAAATTTTGACCGCTCGCACTTGCCTAATATGTGCGGGAATACGCTTTTGTTTTTTTCAAAAGGTATAGACTTGTGGAGGAAATTGTTTCTTGTGTCGCTTTTATTTTAGAGTTGGAGTTTGTTTTAGTAACTCCTTGGTAGGCAAGTTGTGGGAATTCATATCCAACAAGGAATTGGCAATTAAAAACTCTATAAATAGATACCTAGGGTATTGTTGAGAGGTATAAGTGGACAGACATGTAGCCCGTAGAGGTAGACTCACGAGGGAGTGAGTTGTGAATTGATGGGAAGAGTGAGAGTTAGGTTTGGTAGATAATTCTCTACAAATTGTAACAATGTCTCCTCATCAGTATAGTGAAATATCCTCATCCATGAAAAAGCCTAAAGTTTTGGCAAACCACATAAATCTTGTGTTGTGCATCGATGCTGTTGCTTCGTTTTGATCTCCATCATGATGTTCTTGTTGGCACCGATTGCTTTCTGGCAAAAGTAGGCCAATCAAACTTTTTCGGACCTGTCCAACTTCTACAAGTTCCCGCTGTTGCTTGATCTTGTTGTTTCGCTTCCGCTGCGCCCTAACAAGTAGAGCACAGCCTCATATCGCCAATACATTTAATTACCCAAAAATAAGTTCATTTTCTCTGAGGAGTTTAATTCATTTCTTCTCTAAAATAATATTATTAGTTTTTAATGATTTTTTTTTTATTAATTTTCTTTTTTTTTTGGGGTGCAAAATAGACTAATTATTTTACAATTGAACTTTATAAATCGAAAAAAATTACAATTGCAAATAAAGTACTAATACTAAACTTTTTTTTTTATATTCAAACGAAGGATTTAGCTTTTAAAAGAAAATAGTTTTATGAGCATTGTCTCATATCTAGTCTATTATGAGTTTATGAACAATGCCAAATGTTCCTCTTCTAGAATTATTATCTGTAGATCATAGACAATAGGATTCTCAAGAGATTAAGCGAATATCTAAAGAAGTCAAAATACATGCAAGTGTTATATATAAAATCAGCTATATTAGGGATGATAATGATACTGATTTTCACATATTCATGCACACACGCCAACACGAAGAATCACGCACAGATTGCAATCAATCTTAGTAAGACTTCGGCAGATCATAATGCTATATAACTGATGATTAAAGAACAAAATCGTAGTAGTAGATATATATAGACTTTTTTATATTTTCCTCAGCTAGCTTTTCCACGAGTTGTCCTCTTCAAGGAGGAGAGAGAGGGACAGAGTTTTCTCATTAACCCTGTACCTCACCGCCCTCGCTTTCATCTTTATCTTAAGCCCATAAAGTTGACCTTATCCTCTACACCCTTTATCCCCGAAACCATATGCAACATGGTTATTTTGTGTTCTTGAATAGTATTTAGCATGTATCATCACTATTGAAAAAAAGAAGAAAACGAAAGTTCCCAAATGGATCAATTCAACTTGTTTCCCCAACTCAGCAGATTCTCCTGACCACATTTAGAGAAAGCTGAAAGTTGTTAGTGGCTGGGCGAAAATTGGACCAGTTGATGGAGCTAAAAGACAGGTCACTTTCTCCTCCGTATGCACAGATTCGTTATCTTGAAACTTTTATTCCATGGAATTTTTAAAAAATAAATAAATAAATAAAAAATCTAATGGAAAACATTCTCTTTTCCCTCAATTATGACTTTTTCCTAGTGAACAAATTACGCAATATTCCACCACCATTGCCATCCTATAAATACCCCAATGGGGCTCAATTTTCATCATACCAAAACTCACATTGGTCTGTTTCATTGTTTGGCATTTGAAGTTGATACTTTCTATATATATATATAGCCTAATTTTTCTTCACGTTAGAGCAATTAATGGAGAGAGTTAAGAGAACCGTGTCTGAAAGGCCATTGGTGATCTTCACTAGGAGCTCTTGCTGCATATCCCATGCCATCATAACCCTCTTAAGGAACTTTGGCGGCCACCCGGCCATCTACGCGCGAGCTTGATCAACTACCGAGAGGCCAACAACTTCCTCACCACCACTACGACAGTCGACAGCCATAACTGCCACCACCACCACTATCTCTCTCTCCTCTCTATTTTTTTTTGCCAATGCTCCACTTCTGGTCTCATTGCTCTTCCTCTATCATCACCATCTCTCTGTCGACTGAGAAAATTATTTAATCTGTTGACGAATTTGATTTATTCCAAGGGGGGAGAAACAAACCCAGATTTGATGTAGTAAAACATAATAGAAGAAGAAGATACTTTAATTTCTGAAATGATTCTTTTTGATCAACACAATACATCAGACTTTATATATAGCTTTGTGGGTACATGAATTCACTAGATACATAAATATTTTAGATACATACTAATTAAGATCTTTTAGTCTTTCAAAAAAAAAACATGAACCTGCCTTCAATCTTCCAAAGACAATGAACCTTTCAACACTCAATGTTCAGAAATTTCCAAAATTTAGTTTAGTGTCCCAACATTTGATTGGGGTCCAAATCCTTATTTTCAACCATCACAACCACCATCCCCGCTGCTCCAAGAAGTCGAGCCCTGGGCCACAACCACCACCAACTCCGACCTTCAAAATCTATCATTGGGACTCCCAAGACTACCAGATCGACGTGAGGAAGTGTATGTTCTTCTTGTATGTGTATGTTTATAAGTGGGTTTCGGTTTTGATTCTTTGCAGTTTTTTTATAAATTTATTATTATTTTTTTTGTAATTTTTGTTGGATTTGATACCAATTGATGGACAAATGTGATCCCAATCGATTGGAATATGAATTTGGTACGGATTTATCAATGAATTTCAAAGTTTCTGTATATGTGTAGGTGGGCTTCGGACTTGGATTCGTTACAGTTTCTGATTGAATTTTTGGTTGATTTTGGTTACTTTGACATCAACTCATGGCAGAATATGATTCCAGATGATCCGAAATTTGGTTAAGTGATAATAAGTGCTCAAATGTGATGCATTTTAACATTATAATATTTTAGTCTATTCATCTATCTTATTTTTCCATTTTAATTCTAATTTGTGTTTCTATCTATTTCAGTTTTGGAGTTAAGAAGAAAATCCAGAAAAAGTCAGTGCACTGTTCAAGTTTCGATTGATCGAAGGAAGTGTACAACATATTTATCTCACAATCTCCCCCATTGGCAATTTCATGACAAAACCCTAAAAATAACATTATAATTTACCCAAGCAAAAAAAAGAAGATTTCAAAGTTGTCATAGAAAAAAAAATGCAATTTTTCCCAAAAATTCTTTCAACTGCTCTTGAACCATGACATGAATTTTTTTCACCTATTCTCTGCACAAAGATTAAGAAAAAATACCAATGAAAGCTTAATAAATAAAGTAAAATAAAATAAAAGTTCCCTTGATTAATTAAACTCCCCCTGAATAACACAACTTATCTCTTCCCTTTTTGGAACAAATTGACATATGTAGGAAGAATATCGAAGACCACATTGCAAAAGACAGCAGATTATTTGACTCATGTCATTGATATAAAAAATAATTTTAAGCACCCATGACTATGTCAGCTAAACCATGATGCTTATGACTATGTATGAACATATAAGCACAAATCATGAGCAAAAGAATAATCCACCAAAAGAAATCCAAAACCTGATATCATAAAATATATATATATATATAATATATATATTTGCCTCCATATCAGTCATCCCCATCAAACAGAACCGTGGATGTGACAATATCATCTTCATCATCACTATCATCACCCGAATCACTCTCAGAACCATCATCATCATCATCATCAGCAGCTCTCTCTGAAGTCTCTAGAGGTGCGGGTCTATAAACATCCTCAATAGGAATACCCGACTGCTGCTCCCTAAGAACCTTGACCTTAGCTCATAGTTCTCTAAATTCATTCTCCTGAGAGTGAATTCTTTCCATAACAGCACGATCCTCTGAAGTAGAGAAGCAAACAGAAGGTTCGCATCATCCTTCGTAAAGTTGCCTTTGGTTGTGAAGAGCTTGTCTGGAACTATAACAAAGGATGTTGGTGCAGTGAATTTTCCTTCTACTATCCGAGAATTTTCCCGAGTTGCCTTGGACTTATTTAAGGCAAGAAGATCCAACTCAGTCATGCTCTTCTGATGATAAGCTCACAGAGAAATCATAATGTTATTCTTCTTGTATAATTCCATAATGATCATAGGGAATGGAGAATTATAGTCTGTACAATGGATGGTCCAAGTTCAATGAGAGCTCACATAGCCAAGAAAAAGAGGATTTGAGCCCGTTCCAAATTTATCTCATCCTGCTTCCCAAAGGACCCTAGATTCGCAATAACAAAAAGATTGAGTGCAGCCTCATCCGTGAGATATCGAGAAGGAATGAATTTAGGATTCTTTGGAGATACCGGAAAACAAATAACAGCATGGATTTCCGGAAGTTGTGGCTCATAATTTTTACTTGGAACAATTGCTCCATTACTTTCAAGATAATACTCTAAGCCCAAAACATCACTGATGATACCATCTCCAATGTGATAATCATTATCAAAAATAGCTACAACAATTTGTTGTCATGGAGATCCATTTCCTTGATATTGGCGTAGAAATAGTGTCCCATATTCGGAGAAAATCCACCTTTAATTCGCGTGAAGAATATCTAATTGTTCTTCTCTATGTAGTCCACAAGCTTCTTCCCGGCATTGTCCCTAAGCTTTTGAAGAAGAACATTCCTTTCTGTCTTATCGGCCCATCCTTTTAGACATCATTTTAGGCCTTCCACTCATCTTCATTGAAAAAATGATGTCGAGTAAATTCAATTTTCTCAGTCTTAGACACAGTAGGATACCGGCTGGTATGTCTTGTGGAGGTACATTGGGAGTAACGAGATGAGATGAAGCAGCCGGAGGATTCAAAACCAACATTTGGTTCCCGAATATAAATCCCAGTTCTTCGATGCTTTGGAGCCTTTCCGGTATTAATCGCTTTCCCCTTTGCACTGTTGGATGCCTTAGGAGCCATGTTGATTCACAATAATTTTTGGTTTGAAGATGCCAAGTACTTTGAGGAATTTTGTCAAACACTTGGTGTGCAACGCAAAAGTGTTCTTCACGGAAGCTTGATTTTAATCCTCTAAATCCGAAAACCAATGTCAACAAGATGATGAAGGTCTTCAATCCGCAAGACAACAACCATAGAAATCTTCAATCCCTTTTCCTTATCAAATATTCAATCAAAACTTCAAAAGTTTTAACCCAACCTCCAAATTCCATCAAACCCAATTAATTCACCTTGTCCAATATCGCAATGATGCAATGAAGATCATGAACACAAGATTTGGAAGAAGAGAACGATGATAACATGTAGTTATGATGCAAAGTTGATGATATATGATGACAGATATATATGGATGTAGGAGAGGGAGAGGGAGAGGGAGAGGGAGAGGGAGTGTGCAAAGAGACCCAAACCCGTGCACAATACAAGTCTTAAATGACTTGGGCGGTGGGACTTGAACCTGTTCCGGGGGGTCCTGAACCGGTTCAAGTCTAGCGGTGTAATTTGCAAAGTGCAATTTAAGGCACTTGAACCAGTTCGGGAGAGGCTCGAACCAGTCCAAGTCTTTCAGACTTGAAACCATACCAAAATTACGTTCAAAATATTTCTAGCTCCTCCAATGATGGTCAAAAACATTAATCCTCAAATAATTCACCAAAAACTCTAGAAAGCTAAACAAAATAAAATATTTTTGAATTTCTGAAAAATTTTCAAATTTTTCTTTTTTTTTCTTTTTTTTTTTTTCTTTTCAAAATGATAGAAAATAAATCCCATATAACTCAATTCCACATATGATAAAAAAAAAATTCCAGAAAATTTATGAGTAGACCGAACTCAAATTTTTCAACACCACAAAATTTTCAATTTAATCAATTTTCGGAAAGCAATCACAACATGAAATTCAATTTGCAATTTTTATGAAAAATTTGGAAATTCATCTAACAAGTTTATGTGTGTATGTGTACCCAATCTCTTCAAATTTCATCAAATAATTGTCTAAATCATATGGATTGAAAAGTATCAAGATAAAATTATTTTTGAGCAAATTCTAAGCAAGGCGGCTTTCACTCTAACGAGTACAAAACAATTCCCTATTTCAACTTATCTCCACCTTTCTTTTTACTCAAATAAGTCCACTTCAAAGCCTAATAGGAGCTTTCTTTTTTTTCAAGCTGATTTTTTATTTGTTTTTTTATTGCTCCATTTTTTTTAAACACTTAATAACCATCATAACTTTTATGAGCAATATTACCTAGTCAACTTTTCAATAATTTTCAATCAATTTCCTTAGAGATGGACTAGTGCACTAGAATATGAACTCGAATGATTCAAATCTAAAAATCAAATAAACACAGCAAATTGACTTTCATTGTATAGATTATAAAGAAAAATCTATTTTACTGAATCATCACATGTCCTCAATTTACATTCAGAGATGGATCATAAATTTTATACATAGAATTTTCACACACGTGTTCAAATAAAATATGATCATTATTCTAAAAAAAATAAACCCTAGACTCCAAGAAGTGATCAAATGGTAACCAGATCTTCAATAATCACATTCCATGATCACACAAACTTTCTAGGACCTAATTAGGAGGTTTTTCACCCAATGACGTATTGGAAACAAGTTCCATAGAATCAACCAGTACATAGTTGACTAACTCTTCCTTCTTAATCCAAACGGCCTTCATATTCAACTTTTGAAAAGCTTTTTTAGTTTTGACTTTTCCTTTCATGCAAATTCTTAGCTTTAGAATTTTTGGAATTTTGGCTTTTTCTTAGCATGCACCCTATTTCTAACATAAAATCTATGATTATGAAATCTAGACTGATTTTCCCTTTTATTTCTAAAGCAATAATATTGGATATGTCTAGTCCTACCATAAAAAGTGCAATGCAACAC